GGGGGGGGGGGGGGGGGGAGAAGAAAGAAAAGGATGCGAACCTCTTCTATTCTCCTTTACAAGGGGAATTGTTCAATTAAGACAATAAAAATGAGAAATTCTACTGTCTATATTTCTCTCCAATTCGTGTCTTGTCTGTTGAGACAACTCTGTTAGTCAGAGTCAGTAACCTAACTTCGAACAGGGTTGAGGATAATAATTACCTAATAAGAGTCGTACCACGACAAACAAGAAAAGTATTATAACTGCAGTAGTCATATCACCATTGCATGCACAGCCCAGCCCCCACAAAAGTACCATTAACATATGCATGCCTAAAGAAGCTTCACATTTGCCCATTGATGAGGTGACAATTCAATCTGCAATAATATATTCTACTTTTGGTGATAACAAGAGGTGTAAAATCTGCACAGACACGTGTCTCTTATTCTTCAATTTACTAACGAAAATATTATTACGACTTTTCCTTCCTCTAAAAGATAATATTCGATAAATTTCTCTTAACGTTGCGGGGAACAAATATTTCACGTTGTCACGATTCGAACATTTCACCAGATCATTGAATTGATAAGAACAAAGGTCAGTGTGTTCAAAGTGCAAGAACGTAAATGTGAGCTGATGACTTGCGCTTATTAGTAATTCCTCGTTGAAGACCAACAATGTAACATTTACATTCATTTATTCACATTACAAGATCGATGTCTTATATTCTTATTTAGCTCCTATTTGGTTTAGTCAAAATCAAACCCTTAGTATATTTTGATAAAAATCGATAAATTGTGCGATTTAAAAGTTGATAAAAATTATAGATCCTATTAAAATATCTAATTAAAATTAATTATTAATTTTGATTTAAAATTTTATCAAAATTTTTAGTTAAACTAAAGGAATTTAAACATGCAAATAATAACCTAAAATAATAAAGTGAGAGAGAGAGAGAGAGAGAGAGATCTTTTGGTAAAGTATGTAGATGAGGTGCACCTTTATTTATTTTTTTCCTTCCAAGGGAAAAAAATATTATAAATTACTTTCTTGTTTTTGGTAGATACATATCACTAGATAAAATTTTCATGGCACGTTTAGAACAATCGAACAGTAAGTTCTTTTTTAAATCACTCTACGTGACAAGTTTTATTAATAACGAAAATGAGGAGGGAATTCAACCTAACTTCTAAGTAAATTAGCAAAAAAATAAAATAAAAATAAGATTACCTCGTTCGGAAATTGGTTATTGTGTAAAAGCTTAAGGAAGGAATAAAATTAAAATCTTTTTAATTTGACTATGAGTATTGCTCCATACGTGACCTTGCCCTCAAATTACCCTTTAATTGTTTAACAAAATATTTGGTGACTAATATACAATATTTAGTGGAATACGTTTATTAATTATCCACAGTAATTTCATTTTCTTTCTTTTCTTAGGGCTAACTTGCGCCTGGTGCAGTCGCTCTGGCAAAGACCTTTCTCCTCATCATCAAAGCCGTGCCTACTTCTCCTTATATTCATCGCGTTTGTTCTTGAATCCCTCTGTATTCTCATAAGAGTTGTTAGAGAGAGAGCGTGTGTGAGTGAGAAAGTAGATAGAGAAAGAGAATGTTCCATCCAAAGAAGCCTTCAACTATGAATTCTCATGAAAGGCCCATGTGCGTTCAAGGAGACTCGGGTCTCGTCCTCACTACTGATCCAAAGCCTCGTCTCCGGTGGACAGTCGAACTCCATGAACGATTTGTCGACGCTGTTACACAGCTTGGAGGCCCAGATAGTATAATTTTCTTCTTTTCAATTCATCACTTTTTTTTCTTCTTCTTCTTCTTCTTTTTTCTCATTTTCATATCTTTATTAATTTTCTATAATTATTTGTTTTCTGTAGAGGCTACACCAAAGACCATCATGAGAGTTATGGGTGTTAAGGGTCTTACTCTATACCATCTCAAGAGCCATCTTCAGGTAATAATTTCATGTTTTTTCTCTTTCCAGTTTTCATCTTCTTAGGGTTGTGATTTCTCTTTAATTTATTTCGTATTTTTTATTAGAAATTTAGGCTGGGAAAGCAGCCTCACAAGGAATACAATGATCATTCCTTTAAAGATGGTGAGAGGGGTGACTGTTTTTTCTATGTTTTCTTATTACTATCCATCTCAATCTTACACAAATTCTGAGAGTAATTAATATTCAAATTGTTCGAATTTTCCAGCTTCGTCTTTAGAACTTCAACGAAACAATGCATCATCTTCTGGAACGATGGGCCGTAGCATGAACGAGTAAGTATTAATTTGTGTTACTTTTTGCTTTTTTCGGCTTTAATGTGACCTCTCAGATCAATTTCAATACTTCTTATTCTTATTCTTTTACTTTGATTTATCTGTTTTTCTAAAGAAAATTATTTTGTGGGTTTAAACTCACATTGAAAAATGATTTTTGAGTCTCGGTTTTTCTGTGGAATGTGTGGAATGTATGAATTTATCGGTGGCAGTAATGTTGAAATCACTGATGCAATTAGGATGCACATGGAAGTGAATAGAAGACTCCATGAACAATTAGAGGTACCAAAAAAAAAATATATATATATATATATAAATTGTGTATACTACATATAGTTTTTGGGCTCAAATATATATATATACACACACACATTTTTGCAGGTTCAAAGACACCTTCAATTGAGAATCGAAGCACAAGGAAAGTATATGCAGACTATTTTGGAGAAAGCTTGCCAGACTCTAGCAGGCGAAAACATGGCAGCTTCAGGGATGAAGTTTCAGGCGCAGGGAATGCCAGAAATTTCAGGCGTGAAGGATTTTGGACCGATGAATTTTCTCTCTCTTCAAGATCTCAACATATATGGAAGTGATCAACTTGAACTTAATCAAAGCATGGACAGATCATCCATTGATGGATTCTTACCGAATAACGAGAACTTCCTTATGGGCAACAAAAAAAGGCCCAATCCATATAATAACAGTAATGGGAAGAGCCCTTTAATCTGGTCTGATGTCAAAAGGATTCAAGAATTGGGTACAGCAGCAGCGTCATCTCTTGGTTCAGAGGATGAACCACTGTCTTCTGATCATAGAGGGAATGACCTTGATTCAGTTTCAGATATTTATGAAACAAAACCAATTCTTTCTGGGGAGGCGACGGGGGAGAAGAAATTTGATACGGCGGCGAAGATGGAGCGGCCCTCGCCGCGTAGGGCAGCGTTTTCAAATGAGAGGATGAACACTGCCATCAGTGCTGGTGGAATGCCACAAGGGAGAAGCTTACCATTTGGGTGAATTATTCCACATCATGGATACTGATAATTAAGAGTAAGGTTTAGGGTTTTCGATCTTAGCGTTTGGAAGTTCATTACTAACTTATGCCTACCATAATCTGTATAATTAATGCTTTAGTGTCAGATTTTGAGCTGATAATCTTGCATTTGAGCAAATATATCATCATGTTACTCTTGTTAATTAATATGTTACTACACGTTCTGCTTTATTTACGATGAATTATTGAATTAATCGTGTTAATATTTCATGAAACTTGTACACGTGTTAGGTCTTTAATGAAAGCTCGAGTTGCGCATTTTTAAAACCAAATTTAAGTAAATAAATATATTTTATTTTTAACCGTTTAAACTTTTAAATTAAATGTTTCAGTAATATTTTATGTTAGGCAATGAATTTGTCCTAATTTCTTGTTATATTCATGTATCTTGGGTCATTTTTCAATCTTTTTTCAGCATCTTATGTTGTTGTTTTGTCATATATACATGTGATTAATTCAACAAAACTTTTTTGACCACTGCTTTTTAGTTGTTCTAAGTTAGTTAACCCTCTATCATTGGTTAATAATGACATTGGAAGGCTAAATGGCACCCTAAGGACCCATTTGTCAAGATTTTCTGAGAGTCAAAAGCTGCTTTTGAACTCGGATAATTTTTTAAAATTACTTTGTCTGGTTACAAGAAAGCTTATAGAAGAAATTCGCCTAAGATAACTTTTTAAAAAACTCTTTTACAAGGAGTAGAAGTCATGTCAAACGGGACCTAATGAAGAATGGTAAAGAATTTCTGTTATGGTAAACAGACAAAGAGTATCCAACTTTCATGCTCCTTTTTCATCTTTATCATTTCATATTCCATGGTATCAATACTTGTGACTTTATTCTTACCCACTGAGTCGACTCATTCCAAAACTCACTTCCTTTTCTCCCCATTGATTTATCATAATTTTCTTTTACTTCTTCTTTCTTTCATCTTTTTTGCATTTTTGTGTAATTTTTGACCACTTTTAATGCTCTTTCCGTGTGGTTTCGGCAAAGAGTTTATTCCAATCCCATTATAATTGCTCTTGGAATTTCATTTTACTATTTTTTTTTATTGCACGCCGAAATATTTTTACGATCGACCAAGATTTTTGATGTAAAGAAGATAAAACTAAATAATGAATGAAAAAAATGAACTAAAAGTAGAAAAAATCGAGAGAAAATTTAAACGTAATCAAATAGGACATTGGATAGTTCCATTATTTATTTATTTTTTTGTTGAAGACGACATTTCATGAGTCTTATTTGATTATTATAACTCAAATAAATATAGCTACTAATTAGTAAAATTTCAATTACTCATACTTCAAGTTGATCAAGAATAAGTGTATGTTCAACGTAGATTGTTACCAAACAATCCCCAAGATTTACTTATAACTTAAACTAAAAAAGAACTTGTACATAGTTGAGGTTTTGAGTTGTGAATCGCCAATTATAATGATGGAAAAGCCGGTGAGAAGGGCTTATGTTAAGAAGGTGGCAAAACATGGAAGGACAACCTTTATTTGTTGCAGGAGAATGTAAAATCTTCCCAAAATGAACCACAAGAGAGAGAAAGTTAGAGAGAGAGAGATTTACGAAGAGAAAAAAGTTAAAGGGAAAAGGAACAAGGAGAGTAGAACGCACTCTCATGCGTTCAAATATCGATGAAGCTTCAGACTTTACATAGCCAAAGTTCGGTTGTTCGGTCATGGAATCACTTCTTCATGCAAATATGCTCTTTCCGTTCATCTATATAGGTTAATTTTATTTTTCAAACATATTAAGAAATTTTAGTTAACGTTGTAGAAGAAGCAATTCTTGCAAAGAATCTTCCTAGTTTACCCTTATTTAATTATCAACAATTAGTAGTAAATAATATATTTTCTAGAAAAAGTGGGAAATGTGTGTATGTATTTGGATAATTCCAATAAGGTAAATTAAAATATGTACAATTTCAAGATTAATTAGGAGGAATCGCTATAATTAGATCAATTTAATAAGGATATATTAGTAAACAAAAACTAATACTTTCTCGATAAAGAAACATAACTATATAAATAGAACAAGAAAATAAGGAAAGTAAGTCTATATAAATGAAACAAAAATTTGTCTAGTGGTACGTAATGGGGTGTATCGAATGGTGTACACCCCACTCATATGGGTGTGGGACCCATGTAAAAGAAAGAATATTTTATTCGAGTGGGTCCTTCGCCCATGTGAGTGGGGTGTACACCATTAGGTACACTCCGATGTACCACTAGCAAAATCGATGAAACAATTAGTTATATTTTATATTACTATTTAGGGTTGTACTTTGTGCGGTTAAGCAGGCATATATTATAGTAAAATGAATGGAATTATTGCACACACTCCCACGCAAAAAGAAGATGGATACATATAGTATTTTCATTCTAAAATAGGCACATTGGATTCTTCCTCTCTCTACATTTTCATTTTCTATTCACGACTTTCCCAGCGTAGAACCTTCTTTTGTCCCCTCTAATTCTCTTACTCTCTTACTTTTAAGTGTGTATGTTTTTGTTAGGAATGGCAAACGGATCTTGGTTTGGCTCTACTGAACACGATCCATGGATTGTTTAATTCATTGAGATAAGTACTTATGGATCGAGTCTAGTCCACTTTTTTCTACAAGTCGACTCATGAAATCCACGAGTCATAGGTCAGCCAAGCTCAGGTGTTTAAGAATTGTGTAGATTCGGCTCATGGGCTCAATCAAATGCCATCCCTAATTTTTGTGCACCTTGCATGTCATATTTAAATTTTCTGAGGAAATGAAAACAGTGGCATATCTATCTTTGCTACATATAATCGGAAATTAATTTGCATTTAATACCCAACTTTGTTTAATGATCATTGTCACTTAGGTATTAATTCTTTATCTTAACGTATTCCCAACTTTCAATTTTTTAATTGGACATATTTTTCGAGATGAAAACCAGTCCAAACCGATGTTAGATTCAGTATTACATAATTGCGATAATCGACCAATCTCATTAATTATTTAAATCCTTGCAAATTTATTTTAAATGACTAAAGTATATAGTAAAACGGAAACAGTAACTGTATTTTAGGTTGATGACTACATAAGCTCAAAGACTACGATACATTCAAATAAGTACATACATACATATCAAACACAATTTTTAGGCCATTTTTTGACAAATCAAACAAGGGTACAATGGTCAGTTAACTAAAAATTTTGCTTTTTAACTGTCAACTAAAAGGTTTCCCATCATAAAACGATAACTATTGCACACATTTTAAGGACCTGGTGTGCCAAAAATGAAAGAGTGAGGACCCATCGTCAAAAGATTCAAAGTTGGTACCTTTATCTGGAATTTTATCTATTCATTTTTAAGAAATTTCGTGTCCATTTCAAGTAGTCAACACGACCTTATGGACACAAAAATGCGTACTGTTTTAGTGGATTCTCAAATTAGTAATGGATCACTTGGCTGTATAGTTTGTGGGCCAGTCTAACTTCCCAACAAGGTCCAAATTAATTAACCTTGTTTCCTTAGTTTATGGTTTGGGCTAGGATTGAAAATTTTTATTTGAACTGAGATAATTAATAGTCGAAATTACAGGGAAACATATATTTAAAGATTGAATTTCAAAAATAAAGTTTAAAGTTTACTTATACCAAAATCAGGTAATAATTTTATATTTTAATATTAATAAATTAATTTATATACTCACACTTTACCTCATTCATCCCATTCAAATCCTAGATTATTTTCTCCCTCTTCTTCCCCTCCCTTCTCTCCCATCTCCCTCTTCCTTCTCTTCACACACAGACAGTCGCTGTCGCTAGAGACAACAGCGAGGCTTGTCATGTCACTGTGAGCAGTGATGCGAAACTCACAGCAACAACAACGCTCATAGTGTCGCTCGAAGTCGCGTGCAGTAGTGTCAAGTGTCGATGCGTACGGTGACCTCGTACAAAGCAACCTCGTGTAGTGTCGTTGCAGTGCAATCGATGGTATTCGTTTTTTTTTGTTGTTGGAGGGGTGGTGATGGTTGTTCCCATGTTTTGGTTCTTGTGGGGGGTTTTGTGGATGTGCATGAGGTGTGCCTGCAACACAGCTGGTGGCTATCACTGGTGGTGTTGGTATTTTTGTTGTTGTTGTTGGAGTGGTGGTGGTGGTGGTGGTGTAGAGGTGGTGATGGTGGTGTGGTACTGGTGTTGTTGGTGGTCACAAATAATGGCGGTGGCTATGGCATGGCATTTAGTTGGGGTGGAATTGGGATAAAGAATGTTCGTGACTAAGTATATAGGTGTGTGTGATCAATTATTTGGTTTATTACTAACCAAATATTGGTATAGTTGTGGAATCGGGGGTGGATTAGGGTGTTTATTGTGTGACCAACTATTTGGTTGATTTATGACCAACTATTCAATATGTGACCTAATAATTTTATAATTTGTGATTGCGAAATAACTTATGACTAATCTTATTTAATAATTTGTGACTGTAAAAAAATAAATTGTAACCTATAGAATTGGTGATTTGTGACTGATAAATAAATTGTGATTTATAAAATTTTTAATTTGTGATAAAAAAAATAATTTATAACCAATTAATTTAATAATATATGACCAATAAATAAGTTGTGACCTATAAGTACGCATCCATGATCATAAATTGTATAATTGTGACATTAATATATTTAATTAATTAATTATATTTAATTATTTATTAGTCACCTGAGTTTTGAAATTGTAAACTTGTTCTCTTAAAATTGAATTGGCTCAAATTTAAAGACCGAGATATAAATTTTTCCTTAATTAATAGTGGAAATTTGACCATTTGCACCTTTATGGGTAGTAAAAAAAAGAAAAAAGAATTGTACCCTACTTTCTAATCTTAATTAGAAATTTAACGCACTTAATAAAACACTCAATAATATTTACCTTTTTTATTAGTGCAAATTGTGCCCAATACTTTTTTATAAAACACAGTACATCACAAACATGTTGTTTCTTCAAAATTTTCGTTTGAAAATATTTACCATTTTTCTTTGTTTGTGTTTCGCGCGGGTTAGTCGCTAACAATTAAAAATGGATCAGACGATTGTGTAAGGGACAAACCTCTTGAGACAAAATCCCAAAAAAGGGTGTTTTTATTGGCGATGACTTTACAATTGGAAAATAAAAACAGAATGTC